ACACTATTTCTATTAAAATAAAGCCCTAAATGAGTCCAATTTGTGGACTCATCAGATACACCAAAAGTAAAAGGTCACTAAACAATTCATTTTAATGCTTTGGAAAGGGATGCTCTTGTTCTCAAAACACCTTTGATTTCTCTCACTCCATATTGTCCACCAGATGCAGGCAGGGACAATCTTCCATCTCTCCTTGTGTCCTGACTGATTTCCATCTTTATTCCAACATGCTAGGACTTCTGCAGTATTTCTAGGCATGGTCCATGTGATACCTCTCAGGTTAATGAAATACTTCCATAGTTTCTCAGTCACTTTACAATGCAAAAAAAGATGGTTTATTGTCTCTGTTTCATATTCACAAAAAAACATCTGGAGCATAAGTCCTTTCCTCTTAGTCCTCCTTCTACCATTATTTAAGTATGAACCCCATCAAATCAAAACAACATCTTTCTAAGACATTTTCGTCTAAACAAGTCCTAAAATCTTTTAATTTTGTAGTGTACACAGACATACTTCCTTGGAACTACAGAATTCAATAAAATTATAGCTTTATCAATTAAAAAAAAAATTGATCTTTTTTCCGGGATAACCATATTCTAATTTAGCCATAGATTTTGGATCATATTTTGAATATCTAGATTTTGGATCAAATCCTGAATATCTGTCTTCAAAAAAAATTCAGCAAGTTCTTTTCAAGTAAAATGGATGTCCAATCACAACTTCAAAAACTCAACTTTTCAAGTTTCAACTTCAAAATCGGCCAAATAAGAGCTTAAATTGCTAAAATGAAGTTATAAATCAAACTAAAACTAATTCAAGTAAATGAGAGGACATACAAGCAAATTCATGTACTGATCGGCATCGAAGGCAGTAGTGTTAATGGTATCCAAAGTTGCGAATCTGGAAGAAGTATTAGGCGGAACTGAAGTAGAATTAGGATCTGGAGAGTAAAAGCTCGATAATAGATCTCTCATTCTCTTCGCTTTATCATCAATCGGTACTTCATCATCTACACCCATTGTTTATGGTCTTCACGAATTCAATATCAGTTACTTTAGCTTCACAAATACTTCAATGGCAGAACTGAAGAATTTGAGATCTATTAGTCGTTTAGCTATGGCAGTGAAAAAAATTTGACTTGGAGAAGATGACTCCACATAATTTGTTGAAACTTCATAATAGTCCCTTAAGTTTGAAGTTCTATTCAATTACTCCTGAAATTTTTTCCCTATTCTTTTATTATCTCATGAACAAATATACTTCTTAACTTTACTATTTAAAAAAAGAAAAGAAAAAAAAAGACAAGTTTACCTTTATTGTCTAACAAATTGAGTGTATTTATTTTGAATTATTTTAAAAAGACAAAAAGTGACATAACAATAAGAAATTACTTCATCGATTCTTTAATCCCTCCAGAACTGACCCTCACAAGACTGAATTAGAAAATAATAGGTGAAGTAACAAGTTTAAAGACATGTGATATATTTTTTTTTAAATAGTTCAATAAATATAAGATAATCTATGAAAAGGATAAATATGTTCTATTTATAAACATAGGGGTCCATTTTTAAAAAAACTTGAGATGGACTAGAAATGTTATACAAATGAAATTTATGTTACATGTTGTGATGAAAAACATATAATGCATAATTCAAATTTAAAAGATAATGGATACGTCACCTTAATCCTTTTTTTCAATTAATATATTAGCCTTTGTTTGTAATAACATTATGTGACATATTTAAAATTTTAAAATTTTAAAAATTCATTTTATTTTTTACCAGATCAAATTAAGACAGATATTTTCTCTCAAGTCAAAGATATTGGAGACTTGAATAATAACAACATTTTTGAAGGCATAATAAAAACATGGGATCATGTACTATTAAATAAAAAAATATTTTGAAATTAAGAGAAAATATATAAGGAAAGATAGAAGAAACTCACCTAATATTAGTAGGTTTATTAGCTGTCATCCTACAAGCCAACCATATTACACCTATGACACAACTTTCCTTAAAATAATAATAAAAAATCCTTAATAATCTAAAAAAGCTTGCTCTTCTCCCCTATATAAACCCCATTCTCTCTTCCTTTATAACATTCTTTCAACCTTTTGGTTCTACAACTTCCCTCTTTGCAAAGGTAAGCTTCATTCTCCTTTACCCTTTTTCCTTTTTTGCTTTCTTTATTTTGTGTGTTTTGATTTAGCTTTTTTGTTTGCTCTTTATGTTTTTTTAGTTCTTTTGTTTGTTTTGTTTGATGATTGTTCAATTTGTGTTGATGGTAAAGATAAATTGGATCTTATGCCTATAAAGATTTGAACTTTTTCAAACTGAGAAAAGAAAAAAGATTTGAAGTTAAGTACTTTTACCCCTTTATATAGGTATTAGAAAGTTCTTCTGTTTGTTTTGTTTGATGATTTTCCAATTTGTGTTGATGGTAAAGAGTAAATGGATCTTATGCCTATAAAGTTTTGAACTTTTTTATTCTGAGAAAGAGAAAAAAGATTTGAACTTTAGTACTTTTACCCCTTTATATAGGGATTAGAAAGTTCTTCTGTTTGTTTTGTTTGATGATTTTCCAATTTGTGTTGATGGTAAAGAGTAAATGGATCTTATGCCTATAAAGTTTTGAACTTTTTTATTCTGAGAAAGAGAAAAAAGATTTGAACTTTAGTACTTTTACCCCTTTATATAGGGATTAGAAAGTTCTTCTGTTTGTTTTGTTTGATGATTTTCCAATTTGTGTTGATGGTAAAGAGTAAATGGATCTTATGCCTATAAAGTTTTGAACTTTTTTATCTGAGAAAGAGAAAAAAGATTTGAACTTTAGTACTTTTACCCCTTTATATAGGGATTAGAAAGTTCTTCTGTTTGTTTTGTTTGATGATTTTCCAATTTGTGTTGATGGTAAAGAGTAGATGGATCTCATGCCTAAAACGATTTGAACTTTTTTAACAGAGTAAAGAAAAAATATCTGAACTTTAGTAATTTTACCCCTTTTTATGAGATTAGAATCAAAACAACCAACTTTATTGAGCAGGTTAATCATCTGATATAAATTGATTTGGTGACCTTAATTTAGTAACATTTGTTTTAGGGTTTGCAAACACAGTAATTTGGTTGGTCCTTTCAGCAAAAAAAAAAAGAACTATTTATCGAAGATCTTCAAACTCACATTTCCAAATCTTTCAAAAATCCAAAAGGATTTGAAGACTAGTTTTTAATTTTGCTGAAAGATTTGAAGGATTTTGTGTAAGGTCTGTGTACACAGTACACACTACCCTCCCTAGATCCCACTTGTGGAATTACACTTGTATGTTGTTGATGTTGTTGTTATTTTTGTTGTATTTGAAGAATTAAGTTGAGAAATCTTTAAAAGGTTAGAATTTTGTTGAGGTAGCAGAACATATGTTGTTGTGGTTATGTTCTTTTTGTGGTTGAATTTTGTTTTTGCCTTTCGATCGCATTTCTGAAAAGTTTTCTAATATAGTCTGTTTGTGTTTGATTGCAGATCATTTTTGTGAATACTTTCATTTGCTGTCTGGATTTGGATATTCTACTCAGGAAACTATTGGTTTCTTTGAAGATTGATTGCGGTTTCGTACAAAGTTCCAATGTTTAATTCTTAGTTTCAAAATTTCTTCATGTCATTCTCTATTCGTGTGCGTCGAGTTCGGATTCTGCATTCTTTCTCAGTAGTCTTTCTTTACTGGTTCTACGTGTTTTCATGAACTAGCCCTCATCATTGTCTTTTTCCAATTTGATTTAGAAATTCCATAGCCACACTATCAAAAGTTTGGTGCTTTAACAAATTATACATAGTTACCTGTTATTCCATTTTTTTATCATTCATCCAATCTGCCTGAGAGACATGGCTTCGACTCCGCAACTGGTGAGTTCTGGTTCAGATGCAGACCAGAGGTATGCAAAGTTTGACGAAAGAAAAAGGAAGAGAATGGAATCCAACCGTGAGTCGGCCAAGAGGTCACGGATGAAGAAGCAGCAGCGTTTGAAGGAGTTAAGTAGCGAAACAACACAGCTGCAGAACCAGAACAGTATCTGCCACGATAAGATTGATTCTGTTGAAAGGAACTATCGTGCCATTGATGCAGAGAACAACGTGCTGAGGGCTCAGCTTGCAGAATTGACTGAACGGTTGAATTCATTGAACTCACTCACCCAATTTTGGGCTGATGCTACTGGATTTCCTGTGGACATTCCTGAAATTCCCGACAGTTTGCTGGAGCCATGGCAACTGCCTTGCCCAATTCAACCTATCACTGCTTCTGATATGTTCCAGTTTTGAGCTGCTGGTCTGATGATTTACGATAATGGAATAGAGAAAAGCGTATTAAATATCTAGTTTGATATTAGCAATGTAGCTTTTGTTTCTTACTAGTCATGGTTGGTTTTGGCTATTAATCGGTATCTGAATATCTAGTTTGTTGTTTTTAGTATTATTTAGTCTGTTTGATTATATATGCATGTTTATGAATGAGATGGCCCTTCTTATTTCTATGAAATTGATATGTGTTCATTCTGTGATATTGTGGATTTGTTTATCCTATTTTTTACATGCTTCATGTGTTCACTGTTTTGATCATTGGATGGCAATGCTTATAGGGCAAAAAGTTTTCACAAGGAACTTTTTTTCTGGTCCTATGATTTGTTCAAGTGTTATGTCTTCCCATCTATCGTCTTTGTGGACAGGTATTTGGCATCTTTGTTGGTGGGAGATAGCATGTACTCGTAAAGTTAGATTGGATTGGTGGTTGTGGACGGTATAAGCTGATTCGGATAACATGATTATTGATCATTGGGTTTTCATCCTCGTCTGCAAGTTCTTAAGTAACTCATATTTTGGAGTTATAAGTTACTTGAATCAAATTGATATAATTATGAATGAATTTTTATAAATATATATAATCCCATATGCTAGAGTAGTGCTGTGCATACACAACTTCATCCGGTGGAAAAACTATTTTCAATTTCATGTTCATTCAAACTATATCGCATAAATTAAAACTCGTTTGGTATAATTAAACACACCATACATAAGAGAAGATTAAGTTTTGCAATATTGATAAAACAGAGTATCAAATTACCATTTGAAAAAAAACACAACACATGAGTAGCTACTATCATCATAATCATAATCATAATCAGTTATCATAAGTGCGGCATTCATCCGTTTCTGGATTATCCTTACAATAATTCTCCAGCACATCTGATTCCTTCTTCCTATCCCTCGCATGGCTCGCCGCCGCACTCGTCTCTTCCACCACATCCCACGCCGCCTTACACTCACCGCTCACCGGATCCTCCGCACAAGCTTCTTCAGCTTCTTTTACACTTTCCGCAACTAAATCAGATAGCTTCTTATCCGGAACTACTCTGGGTACTACTACATACATCCTCCCGTAACTGAATTGACCTGATTTCTTCCATGGACTGTTTAGGGTTGGGAATTTCAACGGTTGAATTTTAGGGGAATCGGATGAAATTCTTGGGGTTGTGATACTAACACCAGCTATGGACGCCATTTTTTTTTTTGCTCTGTGTTAAGGTGAAGAAGAAGAAGATATTTTTTCTTATTGGGTTGGGAAATGAAATTATCTTTTTTTGGATAGGAGATTGGTATATATTATCAAGATGAAATGAGTAATGAACACACATTTCTTATCATTTTGTTGGCCAATGGTTAACATCCACGTCATGAAGATGACATCCAAAGATATTTTGTTGTTATATTTAAATTTTATCTTTACATTAAGATCCGTGAAGTCACAAGATGAATTGTTGCTCTGTGACAATACGGATTCAACTTACTCCCTTTCACTTCAGGGTGCCATAGCAAGTCACCATATTTAAATATCTTTATTGTTATTGAGTACTGTAGTAGCTAATTCGTCATTTGAATTTTTATTACTTCTTAGAGTTTTTAAACTTTCATCTGATAAATTTTGTAGCCATAATTTTACTGTTCCTATAAGTGTTCTTTCTATATATCCTGGTGTCTCTGTCATTGCTATTTTGTTATCTATTAATTGTTTTGATATATATCCTATCCATAATTGGATTGTATTATTTATATCTGCTATACAGTCTAAATCTAAAAAATCATGTTGTCCAGTTATTGGTTAAGCATATAATATTCTTTATTAAAATAAATTACATATAATACACTTTGTGCTATATGTATCAAATGAGTTCCATTCATTCGTGTCAGGATTATGGGTGTTGTTTTCGATCAAATAGTTCTAAGTCATGAGCTAAAAGGTTGAAATTTCAACGAAAATCTCAGTCTTGATAAACTATATTATCTAATACATGTCGTTGATTAGAGGTGATGGATCGAATACGAAAAAAACTGATCCATTCCAAATGAGCCCTGCAATGCACGATTCAAATTTAATGGGAGATTTAATGTGAGTAACAAACACGGATGGAAAATCAAAAAAAAAAAAACATAGTGTTAAGATGAAGTTTATTACCATTCCATTTACAAGCTGCACAGCCATTTGCTTGCTAGTATTTTCTTGGAATTGCGTTTCGCCATAGACAGTGAAGCTCGAATTCTGAAAGTTGAGAGCTTTTCTCTGCTCACAAATTTAGTCCATTAATGCTTCAAAGAATGAAACTTTGCTGCTTTTAATGGGCAGAGATGTTCATCATCTTCTTAGTCTTGTTAAAAAGTACCAAAACTATCACAAACCAATTCAGCAAATTCATACTCAGTTAATATTCACCACTGCAGAAAACACCTTCAACTCAACTTCTTCAATACCCATTTTATTAACTCTCTGGAACTCTATAATTCGACATTACTCTCTTGGTATTTTCCCACAAGAATCTTTTTTTCTGTTCAAACAATTGCGGTTACAGTATCACCCCATTATCTTTTTTGATAGCTTTACATATTCATTCTTGATTAAAGGATCAGCTAATTTAGGGAAATTTTGTATTGGGAAGCAGATTCATTGTTTGAGTTTGAAGGATGGGTTTGAATCTCATGTTTATGTGCAAACTGCATTGGTTAATATGTATGGGGAATGTGGGTTGGTTGGTGAAGCCAAGAAGGTGTTTGATGAAATGCCTGTGAGAAATTCTGTGACTTGGAATGCTTTGATCAGTGGTTGTATTAAATGGGGTGATGTTAAGGTTGCTCGGGCTGTGTTTGATGTAATGCCGGAGAAGAATGTTATTTCATGGACGGGTCTTATCGATGGGTATACGAGGATGGGTCGGTTTAATGAGGCTTTGTCATTGTTTCGGGAAATGGTTGTGGTTGAGGGGATTAAACCGAGTGAAGTGACTCTTTTGGCGATTTTCCCTGCTATTTGGAATGTTCGGTGTCTAGAGTGTTGCGGAATGATTCATGCTTATGGGGAGAAAAGTGGTATTGATGTGTTTGATATTCGTGTTATGAATTCGCTTGTGGATGCTTATGCTAAGTGTGGAAGTATAGACAATGCTGTGAGAGCTTTCGAGGATATATCGGATGAAAGAAGGAATTTGGTGTCATGGTCATCGATAATATCAGGATATGCAATGCATGGGATGGCAAAAGAAGCTTCCGATAGTTATAAGATGATGGTGGATGCAGGTATTGAACCAAATCGCATAACATTTTTGAGTATGCTCAATGCTTGCAGTCATGGAGGTTTGGTGGAGGAAGGGCTCGAGTTTCTCAGAAAGATGGTTGATGAGTTTGGGATTCAACCAGACATCAAGCATTATGGATGCTTGATTGACATGTTAGGGAGGGAAGGTAGGTTAGAAGAAGCAGAAAAGATAGCATTGGAGATACCTAATACAATGTCTAATGTTGTGATTTGGAGAACACTATTAGGTGCTTGTAGTTTTCATGATAATGCAGATATGGGAGAAAGAGTTATGCAGAAGATCATGGAGATGGAAAAACAATATGGTGGCGATTATGTGCTTCTTTCTAATATCCTTGCAGGTATGGGCAGGTATGTGGATTCTGAGGGTGTGAGGAGAGTGATGGATGAACAAAATGCATTTAAAGCTCCCGGTGTTAGCTTTGCTTAATCTAAGATTGTAAACTGACTGATTCATCATTCATAAATCACATTTTCCTTGACTTGGTTCTTTTACTGGAAACAGGACCAGCACCAAATTGGTGTTTTCTGCGTTTCTTAGTTTATTCTCATTTATTTCGTGCCTCATTTAGCCCGTTGGTTGAACTAATCTAAGAGCTTTTGTTAAGTGAATGTTGCCTCCTAATCTCATTACTGCTTGTCCTCTATACTATTAGGCTCAGGCCTGATTTTTACGTTTATACAGTACGATCTTTTATAATTAGAACGGCTGCATGGCTTAGCAAATCTTTTACACAGCGAGCTTACAGCTTCAGTGCTTGATAGAGACATTAAAGGATGAACAAATCAGCAATCTATCCATGAAAGGCCAATTATAATATGAACTGCTGAAGTGAGTCACATGTTGTATGTTAGCCTCTGTGAAAGAGGTGATGGATATAGCTCGGTTTTATTGAAAGGCGGAAGGACAAGCAGCGGCGGAGCTACTGTATCGGAAGGGGTTCGGACGAACCCACTGACTTTTTCGTAGATCTTATATTAGTATTAAAATATCAAATATAAAGTACATATAAATTTACTGCGAACCCACCAACATAGTGAAGCGAGTAGCCCAGTGGTTTTAGTGCACCCAGTGAAGGCTCTCAAGTCTCATCCTGCACTTTGTGGGTTTGAAACCCATTGAGTACTATATTTTTCGAATTAATTTCTAACATACATATAAGAATTTTTTTTTAAAAAAAAAAAAACAGAAAATTGGTAAATGAAAAAAGTGTTTTTGAAATTAATTTCTAACCTAAAGATAATAACGTAAGTAGGTTTATATTTTTTTTTTTAAAAAAAAAAACCAGAAAATTGGTAAATGAAAATAAACAGAAAAATAGTGTTTGTGTCATACTCTAAAACAACATCTATCCATTGATTTCAACTTACACATTCAAAAAACTTTGACCCAAATTTATTTTCAAAAGTTAGGGTTCTAACTTTTATTGTTAATCTGATTGCTACCATCCGACCTACGGTATGTACTATGTACTCTCCTCTTCTTTTTCAATTTTTTTCTTATTTGTTTTCTTTTACACGGTTTAATTATCTATTCAAAAATTAATTTTTAATATTTGATTCTAGGGTTATCCCACATATTAAGAATTTATTATGTTAAAATAATTGTTGTTTGAATTTTGAAATTTTAACTTATGAAGGCAATAATGGATCAAGGATTCAAGGTCATAGTGAAACTAGTAAAATATATGTTTTAGATGCCAAAATATTAATGGTGAATATAATTACTTTAATCTCACTTAGAACAATATTGAAGATTATAGTAACAATATTCAAAATTTATATTTTAAAAATTATTCATCTTTTCTTTACAAATATTTTGGAACTTTAAAATAAATTATTCAAATCTTTACATTATTAAATCAAGTTTTTACCAAACAATATAACAATATCTAAGTTAATATTTTCAAACATGATTATCTCATTAACAAAATTAGTGTTTTGTAATGTTTAAGATCGTTATCATTTTTAAAATTTAGAACCCATAGACCTGAAATCCTGGCTCCGCCTCTGAGGACAAGGGATTAAAAAGGCAGTCTGGTGTACAAAGCATCCTAGAGATATCGTAAAAGCATTGTTTTTTGAAAAATCATGTAGATACCCAAGATGATGCCAGATATAGTCGCAAGCAAGTTGGGATTGTTTGGGATCGGTTATATAAATCCTCACTTACTATGTTGCTCCATTTAATCTCATCGCAGAGCAATATTATATGCAATAAAAAAATTTTTAAAAAAGTTCTCTGCAATTTTTCTGGTATATAAATCTTCAGCAGATATAAAATAATTCTTTGAATTCATAAGACCTTAGTAAATGTACTAATATGGCTAAAACATATTGCCAACTAGTTGATATCACTTATATTTATCTTTCCATTGTGCCCTGTTTCTCGGTAGGTCTTTCGAGGCAACTTCCTTTTAGGTCTATCTTGTCCCATTTTTAACACCTTTACTCGCCATAATTGACACGGAGGCCAACGCTAGACATAACCCAACCATCTCAAATGTGTGTTTGCCTAGCTACAACAACTCTAAGGGTAGAGCATCCTGCTAATTTCCTTAACATGGAATTGTCCTTAAAGTTCCCCTTTTCAATGTCTTTACAAAAACTTCCAAATAGAAACAGATTCAATGGGTGTTCCCTTCCATCCAACTAGGAGGGCCTTTCCATCATTTTGAACAATGCAGGAACTGCCATGGGAAAATTGCTTGAGAATCAGATTTGCTTGATATCGAGATGACTCGCTGAGCTCCATTTCCACCATTCCAAACCTCACAAAGTATGCTCTCCATACATCAAGCTTTACATTCCGAGTGAACCTTTCTGCACCCTCAGCTGCAACCATATTCCGGATTCCTTCACCAATGTGAAATACTTCAATCCTCTTTCTGACCAAATTGTCTCTATCCATGCAGTCTTCAAAGCAATCAAAAAGCACACTATAAAAGAAAAGTGCCTCCACAAAACGGTTCAAAAATGAAGG